CCCGCGCGAACTGACAGCAGAGTAGGCCAGACAATAGGAGACGGTGAATAGACGGCCCCAATCGAGGTCATTGCGTGTATGACAGACGTCGGCCCTTGGCCTGACCTAGTCTGCCCCATACCGGCGTTTGATTGGCTCATGCAATCCCTGCCGGTCTTGACGTCACGCCGGCGAGCGGTTAGCTCAGGCCAGCATGACACAACACTTGAGCGACAACACACACCCAGACGCACAGAGGCAGCAGGCGCAGAGCAGCGGTCAAGAGCTGACAGGCGATGATTGGCCCCAGCCGAGTGCACCAATCAGCGAACAGCTGATCTCTGTTGACCCGTGCTAAAGTGTCGGATTGCCCAATTTTGCCAACTATGCGAAGAAAAGTTCTCTTGACTCGTTAGCATGAATTTGTTCTGCCAACTGTGCCGAGGCCTGACACACAAAGCGCGCATCGGCCCGTCCTGCCGGCTGTTGCCATCTCCCACTCAAACTACATTGCCTCATTTCTCCATTTCGTGTGACCTTGAACTTGGCGAGCAGACGTCGAGATAGTTGTCGGCCGTGCCAACGACCCCCGTGCATACACACCGCCTGCGTTCAGAGTACAAACTGGCCACGTTTGTGTCAACAGGCATGGACGCAGATCGCCTGCCCTCCAGTCAACAGGCGTCTCCTGCTCCGAGGCCCAAATCCGACCCAGCAACAGCCGCCTAAAGCACTGCGTCGTCAGGCTACGCCGAGTGGACGGCCGACTTCTCTCTGCGTCATCCAACCTTGCGGCACGGCAACAGAACCGCCACGACTGTCCACAAACCAGTTGCCAAGGCGCACTTTTATTCCGATCACTAGCTTTCATCTGCTCACCGGATGCCAGGCCATTCAGATTGGACGCCTTGACTCGGCGATGCGGTTGCTCACCCAGTCGGCTCCACTCGTCGCTCTGCCCACCCAAACCGCCCTTTAAGGCGGCTCGGGTCATAAGTCATTAGTCCCATCTGCCCGCCTGACACACGAGCACACCAGTCGCCGGCGCCGTGTCATGTCGTCTGTGAATCCGGTCGCCCCGTCCACTTCTCGTTGGCAGGATGGCGGACTTCGCCAAGGCGATGGGTCGGTTTGCCTAAAGTCCTTTGACCTGACGACTGTCTCGGCCAGAAACCGCCTATTAGTGCATCCTCGCCCGCCCATTATCCTCTCCTCACTCAATACAAATCTCTTTCTCTGTGCATGAACGCCTGTTTTACACACCCGATTATCAGACGGATAAATCGAGTCTACAAGACGGACCAGTAGTCATGGCGTTCGGACGACCAGGCCCACATCGGTTGCCTGGCTGCGCGCCACAGAGTAAAGGGAAATATACTTATTCATATTGATGTGTGTTTACCCTAATTTGCTGAAGGTGGTTCTTCCCACAAAAAAGCACCTCAAGTTGCCATCGCAATTATATCTCCTTTTCGCCTAAATGAAATCGGGTCAATCTGTTGAAATATACGATCTACCAATACTCCCGAATGCCTGCTTATCAACGAAAAATGCCCATATTCGTTTTGAGTAGATCTCTAAACTGCCGCATTCGGTGATAAGGCTGGGATAGTTGCAGTTTTGAACCTGATTACATCAGCCATTTAAGCAAATCTTCTGTTAGTAGGTAGTGTTTCTAAGCTACCAGTGGACCATATAAGTGAGATGCATGCACCCTATTTCGTTTAGGTTGATACGAGACTGGTTGTTGAATTTTTCCACTATTGTATAAGTAGCCCTCATGCCTGCATTAGATTGCACACAAGTAACGTACTCCGTTGTCAAAGCAAACATCATCAATCCTTCGACAGAATGTGATACGGAAAAAGGTCTGGCTCTCCTTGAGATGCATATCTGCCCTGTGGTGCAAGGGCACTCGTGGCAGCTTGGCGTAGCGGCCTACGTGGTGAGATTACACGCTGTACTACTACACTCAGCGTTCGAGTCTTGTTGGGTGCGCTGATGAAACGAGTTTAGGCGAGGTTTAAGCTGCAGTCCGCTCCTGCCTGGATGAGAATAACGCTTGAGAGGAACGACTATGTGAAATCCAATGGAAAAGTGGGGTCGAGTTGTAGCAATGAATGCAAACTCAACTACCAGCCTTTCATCACTTTAAACCAAATGGGGGGGAGGCACCTCGGATATATTGAATTAGATGTTGTTTAATTGCAGCTAAACCTGCTCCTCAAAGAGGATTCCCATCCTCGATGGACTGGACCTCGGTACCACAAATTACCGGCGTAACCGTGTTGGTGACGACTCTACTCTTGACATGTTGCCTCTACGCC